TCCTTCACCGTTCAATTTTTAGGGTACGTTCAAGACTGTACATTATTAACACCTCGATATTTCTTTAACGCGTTTTCGTCTGAATCTCATCTGAACGAACAAATGCAATGGTTGTTTATTTGTCTTCCTGTCTATTCCATCCCTCTAAACCATAATTATTGCCTTCTGCTAGGACTTATGGATAAAGCTCCTGATCAAAAACGTTATAGATTGGTTCATTGATGAACTTAGAATAATCACTGAGTTTCTTTGTGTAACTCTTCCAAAGTGTGGTAAACTGGCTCTGCGGGAGATCCTGCGTTATAATGGACAATTCCGTCAGAATCTACAGGTTCAAGATGAGGTTCCTCCTCCTGGTTATTAACGCCATCTTGCTCAGGTCCATCCTCTCCTGGCATTGAAAACTCCTCGATGAGATTATAAACAGGTTGTTCCATGCTAATAGGTCTAATAGCACGAACATAAGCTTGGGACTTTGCATCTTTCTCATAACCAGGATTCTCCAGCGTTCTGTAGAGTTGCCCTTGGATATTTCCGTGACCGTTGAGATTCTGACTGTCAGAAAAGTTCAGAGGAGCGTATGTGTGATCTGCCTGAGAGTCATGGTCAGAAAATTGTGTTTCGCTGTTAAAATGTGGCTCTTCATAGTTTGACGCATAAATTGCTGAAAAACAGAACGATGTCAAAGTTACTGCGCCTTTCAATAACATGCGGACTCTAAAATTCAAAGCTCAACCGACAAATGCGTTTTTCGCTACCGTCAATCAAATGTCCGGCGGCTCCTCCCAGCTTCTGACTACTGCCGAACACTGTTTCGTTGTCTGAACTGTGCTCAACGATTTGATTACCTCGCGCTCGGCAGTAGTCGGAAGCTGGGAGGAGCCGCCGAACATTTGATTGACGCTAGCGAAAAACGCATTAATTTTGTCGGRTGAGCTTTGAATTTTAGAGTCTGCATGTTGTTGAAAGGCGCAGTAATAAGTCAATATAGGTAATCGTCTGAGTCATGTGGGGGGTCTCTGGTGACGTAATCTATTTTTAGCAATTGTGCGCGACGCTATTAAGGATAAGTGAGTGATATTGAAAAAAATATTCAAATATCATGAGTAGTGTTAACTCTCATGCTCGAGTATCAACGCGATTACTCATTTATTATATGACTGCGAAATTACGAACGAGCACGCGCCGTAAGAGCAGTGCAGTCCAATTAAAAAATTGACAATAAATTGGCCAGTTCTCAGCCAATCACAATGACGTAATTTTTCAGTCATATAAAATAAATAATAAAAATAAATAGATAAATAAAAAAAATATAGCAGAGAAAACTCACTCTACGATAAACGACAACTCTCTACTATAGTTTTATATGACTCCGATAGATCCCTTGATTCATTAACCGCAGTGTATTTATATGGGTTATTTTATATATTCACTTTGGTCATGTTGTTTTATCATGTTTTTGTTAGTTTTCCGGTGGTTATAGTTGTTGTTTACATTGTTTTTTTTGTTTGTTTGTTTGTTTGTTTGTTTGTTTTTGATGTGACCGTTTTTCTTCTGTTTGTTTCACTGAAATGTCGATTGCGGTTGTTGTCATTTTATTGTTATTGCAGCTAGAGCGCTGTTATTGTTGCTCTTATTGTTGTTGTAGTTGCCTTTGTAGTTGTCCATGTGCTTTTATTGTTGTTGTTGTTGTTGTTGTTGTTGTTGTTGTTGTCTTTGTAGTTGTCTTTGTGCTGTTGGTGTTTTCGCTTGGTTGTCGGTCGTTGTTTTTATTGGGTTTTTTTATGTATTCCCCTGTTTTCGTTGTTTGGTTTTTTTTGTTGCTGTTGTCAATGGCGCCGTTTACTTACGTGGCTTTGTAACCTCTACTTCTTCGTAAGCGCTGTTATCATCCAGCTGGTACCCTGAGTTTGTTTGTGAGCTCATAATCACCGTTGCCTGAAACAATTGCAGTGCAGATTAGAGAATGACATGGAACGCGACCAATAGGGTATGACAAAATAGATTACAATTCGTGTTACTAAATATATCAAACTTTATTACCTTTCCTTTTTCACTGTTGGTCCTCGAGGAGTGATTGCCCCTGTAGAGACTGAAAAATTTACAGATCATGAATATACCTACACACGTTCATGCTTGATTAGCAGGTAACTATAGCTCCCTTTGAAATTGTCCCATTCTGCTTCATTCATAGACAATAAAAAATAAGTAAATGAATAAATAAATATAAATCAAAGAGGTCAGTAAATAACCAAAAACAATACCTTCAAAAAATAAAAATTCACATATTTACACAGTTATGTTAGGAATTTTAAAAAGGTTGTGGAGTAGGTTGCAACTTTTTGAATATTATTATGTATTTAATGAACGTTTTTTACACCTAGTTGTTCAAAGAGTGTAGAATTGATTATTTGTAGTGAATATAGACCCTTTTCCTTTTGTGTGCATTTAAATTATCCTCACTAAACTCGTTTGGGAGTAAAAATTCTTTTGAATTATCAACTCAAAAACGAGGTTATTCAGGCTTATTTTAATACTAACCATAGCTACAAATCTCGGACAGCAGTGGGAGATGCTAAGATTTGATCTGCCACTCACAGAAGTTAAATTCGTGCGTGGCTGGCAAGAAACACGCAATTGAACAACATGGCGTCACACCGAGCAATGCGTACTCGTGGGAAGAGATAGATCGGGTTTTTCACTGATTCAAAGTTTAGTGGGGCATTTCTATAAAGTAATTTATTTGAGTGTTTGGCAAACGGCCAATACAGATAAATTTATGTTTGACTGTGTTCAGTTCTGATTCTTTGCTTTGATTTTTGCGTCCCGTCGTAGCGCCATCGAGAGAGCACAGTCTCAGATGCCCCATATATTTAATTTTTGGAGGCGAATAGACTTAAAAAGAGACTGGAACCTAGAAGCCAGGTTACCCAGCGAAAAACAACACGGCAGATCAAGGAAACAGCAAAGAAGTGTACTACTTTTCTGGTGGATTTCGCTGTACGGTTTTGCAGGTTTTGGGTCTCGGTTAAACCAAAAGACAGTCAGTGAACATTTGGGACTTTGCACTGGAGTAAGGAGGTAAGTGGGATGTTAAATCTGTTTTCTCAGTAAATCTCTAAGTCGCGAGGAATTGCGCGACTCGCTTTTTCTTAATCTGGCGTTTTCAACTGCGCGTACGTGTCCGAGATTTCTAGCCACGAAAAGAATTTATAATTGGCAGCCATTTATGAAAAGGGTCTACAAGATATTGTACAATAAAAACGCATTTGGTAAGGATGTTATCAAATGTAAGGACAAATCATGCTCTATCATTGTCGTGAGCTGTCTTAGGGTGGTTCTCCAGCCAAGCTACAGGTGTTAAAGCCTCGTAGTACATCGAAGTAAAATCAGTGCTAATGCCATTCAACCAGAAGAGAGTTATAAAATGATTTATCTCAAGTCAGAATGCATGTAGGTCATTTCAGAGTTACCATGTGCCTCTGTTTCAAAACGAGTCCACGTGCAAAACCTTTCATATGAAAGTGAGTCTGATTGGCATGAAAATGCAGGGAACTTATGGGGGGAACCATTTAAACAAATTAATGGTTTCGCACGAAAAGTCATTTTAACACAGGCACGAGGTAGCCCATTCACTTACTTTATACGGCGGTGTCGATAAACCAAGAGACTAACAAAGACAACAACTGCTAAAAGGGAGGCAGGAAGCCCCACAATAAGGCCCAAGCTAAAAGATGTTGAATTATTATCTGCTCTCTGTGCGCTGCCGGGGCTAGGACGAACCGGGACCTGGAAACGATAAAATAAAACGCATTCGCTGCCAAAATTGAAATAACCTTCTACGAAGATGCTTTTTGAGTTCGTCACGCGTTCCATAGGAGGAAAGATTGTGTGACGAAGTAAAGGAGTATGCACAGGAGGTTAAGAATTCGAGAACTAGTTGTAATCTCATTACCAAGCTCCTCTTTTTTTTTATGTGATCCTCGAAAGGTAGTTGAATTGATTGAAATTTAATAATGCCATTTCTCTCCAAAGCTTGGCTCTTTCGAAATGCTATCAAATCTTATTGGCGATATGCATAATAAATTCAGTGGAACTTCTAATAGTATACTGTGAGCTTAATTACTTCTCTTAGGATCAAAACTCTTACGTTCACCTTACTATAGTTTTATTAAAAACAGACATTACGTCTGTCACAACATATTCAAAGTTCTGTTTCACTTAGTTAGACTGGATTATTGGTACAGTAGAGTAGATATCTGCTGTTGTAAAGATATATGGTACATCTCCAGTTATTCGCAATTTTTTAGCTAAAAATAGCTGACGAATGTAAACGGTTACTACGATAAGTTTTTATCGCGCCCTCGAGTTCGGCCAGGAAACATAATCTATCTTCTTTTGCAATCACTTTTTCCTTACCTCAAAGGGGGAGACTGTCATCGTATCTTGCGTCGTCGGTGAAGGAAATAAAGCTTTTTGTGGAGTATCGGAAACGGTCGGTTGAACCTCGGAGACAGTCGTTGTAGTATTGGTGGTGGTCGGCGAAGTATTGAAGACTGCAATAGAGACGGGTGTTGGAACAACAGAAACAGTCGATGAAGTATAGGATATTGTCGGCACAATATCGGGGACAGTCGGTGGAGTATCGGAAACTGTCGACGAAATTTCAGGATCCGTTGATGGAGTATACGAGACTGTCGCTGAAGAGTCGGAGGCTGTCCGTGGAATATCGGTGACTGTCGGGAAAACGATAGAGATGATAGGTGAAGGCGCTGGTGTCGGGCTGGTGGTTGTTGATGGAGATAATGTCAAAGTTGCGTATAGCGACTTAGTTGTGACTGACGGCTGTACAATGGAAGTTGATATAGGACCTTGAATGACAAAACAACAGCA